TATATATATATATATATATATTTCTGCATCTCTTAAGTATGAGATGTAGAGGCTTAATAGTCAGCCAGGCCTATTGACAATTGATAGCTATGGAAGAAATAATACTGGATTTTTCTGACTCTTTATTGAATTTTATAGTACAAGAATAGATCAGATTTGTTTTCAGGAAATTTCAGCATATTTCTACACAGGAGTCTTCTTACGTCTTATTTTATAGCTTGATGAGCCTCAATATGAAATATTTGCACCTGAAATTTTTATTAAGATCACAGGTTCACTGATACTGCCAATTCTTGTACAAGGCTTATGATAGTTCCTACTACTAACTAAATTATGTCAGCCTCATAGATGGAGCTATCAATTTTCTGGAAGTGTTAAAAGTAGGTTTTTCCCCCCAAATTAACAAATCAAAAATTTTACAGAATTTGAAAAAAAAACATTACTTATATAAAAATTATTTCACTACTTTACAAAGTGTTTAAGTGCCATTTGATCTGGCATTTGATATAAATAAGCTTGTATAACATTCACGTTTATTTCATTTAGTTGCAAATATTACTGAAGGTTATTTTATCAATTGCAAACTAAAATTATAATTTTAGGGATAAATTATTGTACAGTATACTTAAAAAGGGATATGGGGGCTCAATGGCTAAGATGCTGACCTTGTCGATCAGAAGGTCAGCAGTTCAGTGGTTTGAATCCCCAGTGCCGCATAATGGAGTGAGCTCCCGTTACTTGTGCCAGCTTCTGCCAACCTAGCATTTCGAAAGCACGTAAAAAATGCAAGTAGAAAAATAGGGACTACCTTGGTGGGAAGGTAACAACGCTCCGTGCTTTATCATACCGGCCATATGACTACAGAAAGTTTTCGGACAGCGCTGGCTCTTCAGGTTAGAAACGGAGATGAGCACCACCCCCTAAAGTCGGAAACTACAAGCACACATGTGTGGATCTTTATACTTAAAAAGGAACTCTTACAAGAACTTCACATTTTGATGCATAAAATATTTAATCAGTCTGATTTTCTGAATCTGAAGTACTGTGACATTATTATATTCAGTATCCATTTCTTCTGTTTCTTAAAATCATATAACTTCCGTGCTTCTGTAAACTATAATAAGATTAGCTTTTTTACTTTTTACATGTTTGTTTGTGTGTGCCTGTGTCTATGTGCAGTGTCAAGCCCTTGCGACCAAGTACCAGTGAATTGATGATGTAAAAATGACTGATTTATTGTATATGTGGGGTACATAGTACACAAGCTTCATGCTGTTCTTAAAAAGTGTATGCTGTAGTGTTCCTCTTGTGTTTTCTTGACCTGTATTTAATTTATCAGTGCTTAGAAAGATTGCAACCATGTGGTCAGCTGTCAAAGTAAATTTATTGGTGTTCTGAGGCTTCTGTAGGCTTAAAGCACTACCAAGATTATTCCTTTAATATGGAAGGGTGTTGTTGTTGTTTTTACATCGATGGTGCTTAATTACTTCATCTGAGCAAGGGGCTACATTCCAGGCATGTTCTGATTGTAAGTCAGTATATTATAACCTGACCTTGGGGAATCAGCCTCAAGAAGGTCATTGTGTCTCATTTCTGGTAATTCTCCTTAAACAAAAAATAGCTATTCAGCTGCCTGAACTCTCACATCAAAAGGCAAAAAATAAACCAAACTGATTGCTTCCATGTTTCTCTTCTTATTGGAGAGTTATTCTACATTAATTTTTGTATTAATTGATACAAAATTAAATCTGTATTTCAGAGGATGTTGGTATAACATATAACTTTTTATTTTATTTTATGAAGGATGCACTCTACTGTTTTATGAGACTTATGGGAAGAATTCCATGGAGCAAAATAATTCAGCCAAATATGCTCTGTTTGGAGAAGACTGTATAGTGCAATCTTGCCCAGAACACCCAAAGAAAGAGAATGTCTTCTGCCTCAGCAACTCTTTCGGAGATGTCTACTTATTCCAGGTATTCTTCTACTATATAATATCTTTGTTCATTATCAAAGTATTAAGGTCCACAACGCTGAATTTATGCACTATTTATCTGTCTATCTATCTGTCCATCAGATTTTGTCCACTACCAATTGGTTGACTCCTGATGAGTTACAGTCAGTAATTTGTAATAAGATATTTATTGTATAGTCATTCAAAATTATGCAATCAAAAATTAAAATCAAAGGCTAGGATCAAAAGATAAAGCTCTAACAAGAACAAGCCAGAGAAAATTGATATTTAACACCAAACAGGCCTGCATAATGAACTTCCATTCAAATTTCTGGTCCATTCTTTTCCAACCTAAGCAGCTATTAAATTTGTGGATTTTTTGCTCTAATCATTATAACAAATTGCTGAGCAGGCTGGGAAATTCTGGGAGTTGGTTACATAAGAATTAAGAGAAAGACGTTGATTGATAAAGCTATCATTAAAGAATTCTTATATGATCTAATGCTATGAATTTGAACCAAATTCATTAAGTGTGCATAATTATGTATATAAAGAGCAACTTACTTTTGGTTGATTTCTTTTGGAGAATATATATGCATTATATAGGAAAGGTAGACCTTCAATGGGTGTAAAAAAGAAGAAAGATGTATTTTTGAAATTATGGTTCTATTCATGTTTGTTACATATACAGATTAGGTTCATAGTAGCCTGTGCATTTGATAGCTTGTTTTTGAAACTCAACAACATCAAAGAAGCCCATTGTATTAATTGATAATTACCTCTATCCAGCTCAATTAAATTCTAGACACGATTTATCTCTAAAAATAAATTTATTTTTGAGATTCAATATGGAGGTAAGTTAGAATATAGATATTAGACATACATTAGATGTTACAGAAATCCTTTTAAAGCTCTACCTCTTTACATCCTGCTTTGATGAGTGTATTTTGAGCTATAACATAATGATACTTTCAGAAAATTGAGACTCTGCAATGGCAGGATTTGTAATTGGCATAAAAGGTGGTGGAAAGAAACACGATAGTTACAATCTTAATTCTGAATGTAGTATAAAATATTTTTTTACATTCTCTATAGGAAAATTATTATAGTATTATAGTATTTTTTTTACTATATTGGTCTAGTATTTTCATTTAATTTTATGTATTACCAGTCAAAAATGCATTGCCTGGAAATAAGAGTGCCACTTAAAGTATCATGGTTGTGTTGGACTCAATCTGCGTTTCTTGTAATTGGCAAGACAACATGTCTTCTAATATTGATAGTTCAGTTTTCTTTGTTCCACAGATGGGCTGCTGAGATAGAAGTGCCAAATAAAGGCTACCTCAGAAATCAGTTAATATCAATAGGAAGTTAACTAAGTTAGTATAAAGCAGGCATAATGACCGGCAAGAAAACAGGGTGACTGGATCACAATGTTTCTAAATGTTGTAATGACTGCATTTTTCTGTATAATCAACTTTATGTAGCTCTTGCACTTTCGTACGTTTTAGGCTGTTAATACATTACAGAGAAATTTAGGAGATGGCATAAACTGCTATGGGACAGTCACTGAACTTGTCTTCCTGCTTCTTTATTTGCAATAATGTTCAGTACAATTTCCATTCAATTGTATTTTTTGAAATTAAGCTAATGATAGGTTATTTAATTGCCATCTTCGCAGTCAAGCATTTAATCTTTTATACAAAGTTTTTTCTTTTTAGATAAAGCCTAATAATTGTTAACAATGACAACTGCCAATTTTTCAAGGCAGTATTAGTATAGAAGAAGCCTTTCATTTGTTTGAAGGGGAAAATTGTGTGCTGTCATCGTGGAATTGATCTCTGTTGTCCATTGGTTGCGAAACTTGGTAAGTTGTATTTTAGCGTTCTGTTTATAATGTTTGATTTTTTTAAAAAACACTCTTTTTAGGCTACCAGCCAGACTGACCTTGAAAACTGGGTTACCGCAATACATTCTGCTTCTGCTTCTCTCTTGGCAAAAAAACTTGGGAAGGAAGATACAGTCAGATTACTGAAAAGTCAGACTAAAGCCCTTAACCAGAAGATTGACATGGATAGCAAGATGAAAAAGATGGCTGAACTCCAACTCTTGATTGTTAGCGATCCTAAAAACAGGAAAGCCATAGAAAACCAGGTACTGTGAAGTTGATTAACCTTCTGCACATTTATCATTGCAAAATGTCTCTTCTTTAAGTATGCCGTTTGTTAATATTTTTAGGCTAGAAAGCAAGCGTTTTGAAGACAATGTGTTGCAGATGAGGAAATCACTGTTGCGGTAGAATTGACTGAGCATGTGTTTAAGGAAGCTATCATGGGTAACTGTTCTTGGCACTCACTACTTGCACATGTGGAAGTAGTTATTTCTGTACAACTCTGAAAGAGATACACGAAAATATTCACATTCTCTTGTGTAATTTGGAAGAATCAACACAAAACAATCCTGCTGCTATCTGAACTATTGCCACCAGACATATTATACCCTCTGCTCCAAAGTCTTTCTGAAAAAGTTCTGTCTTCATAGCTTTCCTAAATTGTAGTTGGGAAGGGAGCATTTTAATCTCAGGGCAAGTTTCCAAGCAAAGATTGGGAAGTGCTGTTTCGGGGCTACTCTAACTTTGTGGAGGGTCACCAGCATGTTCTCTTGGCCTGTACCTATTAGGTACATATTTTACCTGGAACAGATATTCTTGAACTTACTAAAGCACTTTATACGAAATAACTAGCAATTGAGTTAAGGCTGGAGCCTGAGCGGTAAACCAATACAGTTCCTGCAATATTTGTGTTATTCTACCGTATCGTCTTGCACCAGTCAGCAGGCATCCAGTTGCATTTTGCATCTTTGTAGAATCCCCGTTCTCTATAAGGCCAGCCTCATGTCAAGGAAATTGTGGTAATCCAAACATGAATCGATCAAGACATGAGTTCTACTTCCTAAAGCATCTTGGTTCAGGAAAGGCTGCAGCTACCGTGTTTTCCCGAAAATAAGACAGGGTCTTATTTTCTTTTGACCCCTGAAATAAGTGCTTGGCCTTATTTTTGTGGTGCAGGAGGCGGTGAGCGTGGTCACCTCATGGCTGCATGGATACGTATTGCTGTAAAATAGTATCTCTGATTCCCAGCCTATTGAAGACAGTTTCAGAGAACCCTAAAACTATTGGGAGTTTAATAGAGAAGACAGCAAATCACCTTACGCTTAAATTAAATAGAAATGCCACACATATTGTACAGTAAACATAAAAAGAATTGTTACCTAAACCAACTGCCTGTTTTGCCAATATTATTAAGGATGCCTCACAACCAGGTTGTTTTACTTGTGTTCCCCAGCAACAGGTATTAAGAAGCTTAATCTCATCTTTGATGTCAGATCACAGCTCTTAATAGTGTTATCTTCTATCTGTTTGATTAAGTTTCTTTTAAACTGTTTAAGTTGGCAGGCATTCTACAAGTTTAATTATGCATTAAAATCAACAGCAGGTGAGAGCTGTCATTGAGGATTTATTTTGAAATCCTTGAGGCTAAAATGTTTTTTTTTTAAATTTAAAATACTTTAGTATGCTATTAAGGAAGAAGTAAAAGATACCATTTCAGTCCTTAGATTTAAATATATATGCATATTCTCACATTCACTCTGTTATAGTATGTATGGCTCAGCTAGAAAAACATAAGGTCATTCTTTTGTACTCTCATTTTGATATATATATATATATATATATATATATATATATATAT